AATAATATAATAAAATAAGTAATATAATAAAATAATAATAATAAAATAATAAAATTCGCGAAAATATCGCGTCAGCGGGAACAACTTATGTCATCTATAATTAGGACCATCAGCAACCTTTATACGTAGACTTTGGCTGAAAAACTGTGAAGAAAGTTAAGAACGGCAGTTCCTTAAGAAATTTTTCTTCGCTCCTTTTTTGGTATTCAGAGGGTCGCTCAGGAAAAATGAACCACAGTTCTGTGTTCCATGCACGTACCTCTATATCATGCAAAAAACCGTTTCGAGAAAGCTGGGCATTTCCTGGAAGACCTCCCTTTGAGCAAGCTTTGTTAATCGCCTGCCACAAACATTGCTGAAATCGGTCGTCTCGGGTCGTGGGCCAGGACATACGAAATGCTGCGCCACGGACGGTGGCGATGTTTCTCGCAGAGGATGCTGTCGTAATTGCGGCCTATGTACGTGACATCACTGGCACCACGTGGCATCAGCATCAGTAGCAACATACGTGATATTGATTTTTCAACCGAGACCATTGCCAAAGACAGTAAGTACACTTGCTACAGTAAGAACTCCGTGCCAAGAAAGCCAACCAAAAGCCGCCGCACGCGTGGACCCACATAGCTCAGGTACGCAGCGCAATCCTAATGTCTTGACCCATTCCCAGTCGGCTCGAAACTTTGCGACCCATAATCCGATTTGCGTCAAATGGTCAGCCATGGCCGGTCTGTCCGGGATATGTCGCGTTCTCGCTTTGCATTCAGCACTGTGAAAACCTTTGAATGCACACCTCTACTATTCAATCAATTGCATTACTCAATCTTGCAGCTGATGTTCAATGATTCGCTTAGAGATGCGCCTAGAAGCAATCTAGGAAGAGAGGGAAGGGGCTGTGATCAGCTGAAGAACCGATATAGTGCGTTATGCATTCCAGAAGTGTTAACAGCACACTGTTTTACCTTATTTATAGTTATTTTAATACCTAATCCCTACTTGACTGGCAGCCCACCCGTTAGGCTGTCACAAGTCCTCTATGGGAAGTATCAGGAAATGTCATCGAGAGCGAATGGGACTCTTTGAAAAAAGGATTCCGCGACGATGTGGCGCTTGAATTAAGCAGATGTTAAAATGTTATTTATGATGAGGAGATGAATGGCCAAACGTCACTTTCTGCAGCGTACAGCTTAATTTATCCAGAAGGGACATAATTAGCCAATCGAACAGCGATGAACGATTCACGACGAGAGTTGAGACGACGACGGTAGAGTTGAGCACTTACTTAAAACAACGATAAGTTGGTTACGCCAACACCACATGGAAAGGAGAAAGATGCAGATCGGGTCACTGACTGGGGTGCGCCATGTTTCCTACGCCCAAATTTAGGAAGCATTTGAACGAGCCCTGGCGAGCGACATGGCTAATGGGGAAAACCCGATGTCTGAATCTGTTCAAGCGTGTCTAGATATCTCTTGAGGGACAGAAGGATCACGAGAGCCGACTGAGACTCGATCCATTGCCGTATTTGGAGCATTGGATACAGCGTCATATTCACGGAAAGCATCTACGGTAACAGTTGAGTGCAGAGTAAGTGTTTGAATTAAAGAGGTAATTTCGCAGCATTTCAAAGCCCCTTTATTCAGCTTCAGGGATACAGGCGTAGGGAAACGTATTCTTATAGAATATGCATTGAAGTTATTCATCAAACGCAGAATTCCTCATTTACCACTCAGCGCTACTCTGATTATTTTATGTATTGCAGTGTATGTCCTTAAAGGCACATTTCACGGTTTAGTCATAGGAACAATTCCATATACATGAATCACGTAACTTGGTCTGCAATCGCAGAGTAAATGCTGCTTTGCGATTGAAAGCACGTGGTTATTGCGGCAGGAGTTGCATTTTATGTTGGACGGCAAACAACTGTGGGGCCGCGTGGGTGAGTTGTTGCCTGCGCCCCCCATGTCCCCACGTTCCTTCGTTTGGTCGTCCAGCCAGTGTTGTCTATATTGAGCACTTTCCAGCTCAAAAATGTGACCATTATTTCGACTGGCGACACACCTTGTATCCCCATTTTCATTTTCTTACACAGTTGCCACATCTATGTTATCCAATTCGCACATCTGAGCTTACTACACTTCACTGCACCAAGATAAGTCCCTATACAAAGCGTTTCAGCCTGAAATTTGGCGCTCCTTTCAGCATGTCCCTCATCCACCTCAGATTGGTGGGCGCAGCTGCACTGTCTGGAATGGTAAAGGTCGCTTGCAGTCCCAAGCACCTGCCCCATTACATCAACCATAGTACGGTAATAAGCACTATTTTCAGCCGATACGGCTTGTACTAAGTGCAGTAAGGTTTGGGGGAGATCTTATGTTTACGATTTAGCCCAATTTTATGGATCTTGCGATGCTCCAGTGGGATTTTGATGCTAACAGTAAGAGAGATGATTAGGGATAAATTCTTCACATGTATAAGCCAGTCCGAAGCAACTGCCCCGCCAGACACGACGATGATATTACTCGACAGTACAGTAAGAGCAGTCAAGAAGAAACTGAAGGATAGGTTGGAGCAAGATAAGCCACCGTCCTATCAGAAAACAAGATATCAGGGATGAAAAAATTCGCTGTGATAAGGACTGACACGAAATATCTGAACAATGCATAAGAAACGATAAAATAAGCGCAACATTAATGAAAATCAAAAGTGCAAGTATAAAAAGTAAAAATGCATTCACGCTTAGGGAATTACACCCTCATGATTTAGAAAGGTTATAAGGTGAAGAGGGCAAATTATAATGAGTAATGCTAAGGCAATTTTTGCTAGGGAGCTGAACGCACCCCCCCTTATAGCTTTTGTTTGGACATAATTGAAAGCAACCTCACAACCAACATCGATTATTGATCGGGCTGATGCGAGCATCACTTCAATGATTTTTTATCACGGCAGACTCGCTATAGGCACTTGAAGAGGATTACAATTACTGGTAGTATCTGTAATCAAAGACAATTAAACACTCTACTTGAATAAACTGTTGTATTTGCATCCTTTCAAAGAGATAGCGCGTTACAAGAGATATGATACGTGCGAGGACCCGCGCGCAGGGAACGAGACGAGAAGAAGCGCGATAATGGCTCGGTTACAGCGGAGACGCGACATCGATGGATTCGAAAATGGTGTGCATGGATAGGGGTGCGTATCGCAAGTTAAATGAGTCCAGCGTTGCCAGTCATGCGTGTAAAGCAGCAGCCCTAGAGGAGGTCGTGTCGGACAACCTATTTGGCAGTTTAGATAAGTAAGCCGCGAGTATCACAGTCGTACCCTTGTCGCGGCTCGGAAGTGCGCGAACATGTCGCTAAAAGCCTTACAATGTAAGATAATGACGGCTTATGTGAGCTAATAGACGAGATATCGCGCGCACATCCCACGATACACAACTGTGATTACCACAGCGGTGGCTTATTCTCAGAGTACGCCGGGCCTTCGCTGTGGAGCTGTTGGCAAACAAGTCGCAGTTCATGCACTCGTCCAGATGTGTTCCCTTCCTCATTGAACAAGGAAGATAGGGGACCCTGTTGAGGGCGATTCGACGAAACGGTTTGGTTTTGATTCTTTTATCATGTTCAGTCAGCTTGGCACCCACAAGTTATCAATTACTGCCATTTACTTCACCAAATTTGTACTGGTTGTTGTCGCTTCAAGCTAGTTGTAAAACAGTAAGTCTGATGGTTGGGAGCGAGATTACCAATGAACGGGATCTTCATGACTTTATCCGGATGTGTGCTTTCATGAGTTCATCAGACATAAGACTTCACCATGGACTTCTTTGATATGACCACGACGACCACCAATGTGTTGCCGATAACGCCGATAACCATCATACTCAACAGAACCACGACAAAGGTCTTCTCGACCGTCTGTGGCCAAAGGAGTGGCACTCGCAGCAGATCCTCGTACTCTGCATCGGTCATGTTGACGTCGTCATACTCGTAGTCGTCATACTCGACGTCAGCCATATTATTCTTAAACAAAGCCTAATTCAACTGGTCTTGCTTGGAAATCTATGAATCGACGCGGTACGGTATGTAATGAGCATTAACACGTCAAAGCGGTCATATTAACGGAAAAATAGCCTTGTGTAGAATAAAAATAAGAATCGTTTAGAGAATGAGGACGATTATTCATTTCGCGACATTCCATGAGCGATGGATGGCAAGGCCAATCTTCAGCAGGCTCAAAATACCGAGTGAATCGATAGCATTCTACTAAGTTAGAGTTAAAGCGGAAAAAATAGAACAAATCACTTGTGTAAGCATAGTAGGCATAGTTAGAAGCAAGACACAACCAAAAATTAAAAAATACAAAAAATACGAAATTAGAAGATTAATGATCGGTGGGAGTTCGCTGTAAATATGAGGGGACGAGGTAAGAAGAAGTTTCCGTTCAAAGAAGCTCAGCCAATTAAATAGTGGTTGAGTGCGGTAAGAAAAAATACAGTAGGCTTCCATCGTACGGAGTGCCGCAGGATGCATAAATAATAACTAAATAGATGGTGGACTGTAAATAAACATACCAATAGATTCGACTGCCAGCAAAGTCGTGTATTGTTATTATTTATTTTTACTTTCACTGTCCCTTTTTATTGGCATTAGCCTTCTTCTTCAATGGCTCGAGTGGTGCAGTGTCAAGTGATAAAACTTGCGAATTGCGCTTTGCGGGATCGAATCTTTGACCATCCTACACTATCCGGACCAACCGAACCTCCATGATTTCGAAGTCGATTTACTGGCGCCTGAGCCGTCTGAAAGGATAAAAACACTGACTTGTACATCGGCTGGCCTCCGCAAGTCATTGTATAGGCCACATCGCATTCAAACGCCACTACGAATGTACAAATGGAAGTAGAATGCGTGCCGCATCCCAAAAATGAATTGATCAACGCTTTCACTTTCCGTCCCATGTCAATTCTTCTTTTTTTTCAAGCCATAAAGAGCAACACTGTAGAGGCAACAGCAGATTCTTTTTCAACCTTTGTGCATACAAAACCGACGAATTCGAGAGAACAGTCTTCCACGGATCGAGCGGAGATTTCAAAGGCCACGTGCATGGGAGGATCGGCCAAAAACAAGTGTGTGTATGAGTAAGCAACAACAAGCAACGACGGTCGCATCTGTCCTTCATCTTAACCCACGGCCTTAACCCCGTGGAAGAGGATGTATAGCGCGTAGGATCATATTATGAAGTGTACAAGCCAGTATTTTCATACTTCAAGACAAAACAGGTACCAAGGGCCAACCATTCGTTGCGTAGTCTACAAACGATGGGGGTCGTATTTTGGGTTGGTGAAGGTCAAAAGGTGGAAAAAAGGTTGGTGTTTTTGGAAATGGAAGGGACCGCAGCGGTATCAGAGAAATAGTGTTTGAAGAGATCTGCGACGGTCGCGGATGGAGGAGAGGGACGTATCGGGGGCCTCCCCGAAGGCTGCTAGTGGTGATGGGGAGTCACATCGAAACACCCCGAGGTAGAGGGAAAAATCGTAATATTTTTGGAATCTGCGGAACACACAGTCG